CGTGTGCAGAGGGAGGCCACTCACCAGCGCTCCATGGTGGCGCCCTTCCTCCTCCTGCCCCGGGGGTACTCCAGGAGGCAGACGAACACCCCCGCCACACTGGGTGCCAGTTAAGGCCTTCTGCTCAGCCCCAGGGCCCCAGGCCCGCCCGCACCCTCCTGCCACCCGGGTCTGCCGGCCGGCAGGACTGGGAGGGTGCGGAGGCCCAAGCCCAGGTCGTCCAGCGGGCTCCGCGCCAGCCCTGGCCCACGCCCGCGAGGGCATCTCCTGAGACCTGGCCTCCCCGAGGTGGGGCTGTTGCTTTGACTTTCAGAAGCGCAGCTGGAGGCCCCCGGGTCAAGCAGGAGGCGGCTGGCGCTCTCATACCCAGGTGCCCTTTGGGCACGGCACCTCGGCCCCCCACCTCCGGGCCCCCTCCCCTCCCCTAGATGCCAGCGGAAGGATACATGGAGTAGGCGCCAAAGTACCACTGGGTGAAGCGTCCCGCGGTGGCCACGATGCCCCCGGTGATGAGAACTGCGGGCGGGTAAGAGGGTGAGGTGGCGGTGTCACGGCAGGCCACGCCCCAACCCTGCAGGGCTCAGTCCCAGGGCACAGCCACCTGCCCCCCTCCTCCCACGGGGGCCACTAGGTCCCCTGCAGACAATGTGGGCTGCTGGAATGAAGGGGTCTGGGGAGAGTCCCCAGGCAGATCGGAGGGGACCAGGTTGAGCTGCAGAGGGACAGCCTGGCTGGAGGCCACGCTGGACTGCCAGCCTCAGCTCTGGGACCTCGCCTGGGCATTGGCCAAGCTCCTGTCACCCGGCAATGGCCTCTCGCATGGGTTGTGGCTTTCCACACTGTGGTGGACTGCCCCTCAGGACAGGGTGCCCAGTCCTGCCCCCCCACGGCCCAGCCTCCCTTCCCGCCTGGCCCGCGCTCCGCAGCGGCCCAGCCCTTTCCTTTGGGGTCTGTGTGCTCCTGCTGTCTGGGTCCTCCTCTGAGCAGCGTGGACCTGGGTTTTCTCCAGTCACTTACATTGTTTTCTTGCCACCTTTTTTTTTCCAAATATTTTTTAGTTTTAGTTGATCACAATCTTTATTTTACATTTATGTGGTGCTGAGGATCGAACCCAGTGCCTCGTGCATGCTGGGCGAGTGCTCTACCACTGAGCCAAAACCCCAGCCCCTTGCCACCTTTTTTTCGGTGGTAAAATAGATTTAGGATCCAACACTGCAGCCATCTTAA